ATACTGATGCCGCAATTGGCCCAGTGGCGAGAATCTTTTTCTTGCTATTGAGCTTCAGTCCATATTGAAGACTGCAATTCTTGACCTTCTGCACCAAGTTCTTCGGGTCCTCCTCAGTTTCAGCAAGCAGGGTTGTGTCATTTGCACAATGCAGATTGTTGAGGAGTCTGTCTCCTATCCTGATGTCACATTTCTCCTCATACAGCCCAGCCTTCCGGATAATCTGTTCCACGTATAAATTTAAAAGATATGGAGATAGAACTCATCCTTGGCGCATATCCTTCCCAATTTTGAACCATGCAGCATTTCCTTGCTCCATTCTGATGACTGCCTTCTGGTCCAAGTATAGGTTTTGCATAAGCATGATCAGCCACAGTTTGTTGTGATCTATACAGTCAAATGTCTTTGAATAGTCATTGAAACACAGATAGACAATCCTCTGGCACTTTCTGCTTTCAGCCAAGATCCATCTTACATTAGCTGTATTATCCCTAATGCCACGGCCTCTTCTAAATCCAGCCTGCAGTTTAGGCAGCTCTCTGTTGATGTGCTGTTCCAGTCGGTTTTGGTTAATCTTCAGCAGAATCTTGTTTGCATGTGATATCAATGATATCCTCATTCAGTTGGAAGACCCTTCCTTGGAATGGGAACAAATATAGATCTCTTCCAGTCAGTTGACCAGGTGGTTGTCCTCCAGATTTCTTGACACAACTTGGTGAGCACATCCAGGGCAGCATCTATTTGTTGAAATATGGAATGTAAGAACCATGAATGTAGGAAAATTGAATACTGTTAAGAAAAAAAATGAAACGCATAAATAATGACATACTAGGTATCGGCAAAATGAGCTGAACTGGCATGGGACATTTTGAGTCAGAGGATCATATGATCTACTAAGCTGGAGACAAAAAGGTGAGGAAAAAAATGGGGTTGCTTTCATAGTTAAAAAACCATTTCTACGTACATCCTGAAATACAATGCTGTAGTGACAGGTTAATATCCATATGCATACAAGGAAGTACAGTGTATGCTACCATCATTCAAATATATGCACCAACAACCAGAGCCAAAGAGGGGGAAACAGAAGATTTCTACCAACTTTTGCAGTTAGAGATTGACAGAATATGCAAACAAGATTCATTAATAATAATAATAGCAGTTTCTCAAAAGTTGCAAATAGAATACCATTTGACCTAGCAATTCCACTACTGGGAATATATCCTAAAGAAAACATAACTGCCACCCAAGCAGATATATGCACACCCAGGTTTACAGCGGCTTTGTTCACAATAGCAAAGAGTTGGAAACAACCCAAGTGCCCATCAACAAATGAATGGATAAGAAGCTGTGGTGTATTCACACAATGGAATACTATGCTGCACTGAAAAACAAAGAACTCATGAAATATTATACAAAATGGGTGACCCTGGAGGACATTATGGTGAGTGAAATATTTCAGTCACAAAAGGCCAAATACTATCTAATACCACTGTTGTAAGACGGAACTTCCATCAGAGTTGGGTGGAACATAAGAAAAGAGGGGATAAATAATGTATATGGCATTCAAATAGATGAGGGAGAGAACTGTTTAAAAGGTATTATTTTCATGGCAAGACTACAGAAAAAGAAATGCATATTAAAGTAGGCTGTGGACTGGGGGGAATTGTAAAACGATGGAAGATTTTTTTTTTCTTCAGAAAGAAAAGCAAGCTTTTACCGCTAATCTTGGAGCCTGAGAAGGCCTCCTGGAAGCAGGACTTCTAAACCACAGGATGGCTGGGAGGCTTTGGTGCAAAGCCACTTCTGCTGGCTATAAAAGAGGTCTCTATAACCAGAGGGAGCACACAGCTCTTCTTAAAATTGAAGGTGTTTAAGCCCAAGATGAAACGGAATTCTATTTGGCAACAGATGTGCTTATGTTTACAAAGCAAAATACAGTACAGTGACTCCTGGTGGCAAACCCAACAAAACATAGGAATCAGATTGATTACATCTGTGGAAAGAATAGCTGGAGAAGATGAATATCAGCTCTGAAAACTAGGCCAGGTGCTGATTGTGGAACAGACAACCAACTACTCATATGCAAGTTCAAGATGAAGCTGAGGAAAATTGAATCAAGTCCACAGGAACCAAAATTTGACCTTGAGTCTATCCCACCTGAATTTCAAAATCATCTCAGGAACAGGTTTTAAGCCTTGGATATTAATGAACAAAGGTCAGATAAGCTGTGGGAGGACATCCAGAATATCATCCATGAAGAATACAAAAGGTCATTACAAAGACAGAGGAGGAAGAAAAGACCAAGAAGGATATCAGAAGAGACTCTGAATATTGCACTAGAGTGTCGAGAAGCCAGAGCAAAGGGAATAAAGATATTAAGGAGTTGAACAGAAGATTCCAAAGGGCAGCGCAGGAAGACAAAGTATTACAATGAAATGTGCAAAGAGCTGAAGCCAGAAAATCAAAAGAGCCTAACTCGCTCAGCATTTCTTACGTTCAAGGAACTGAAGAACAAATTCAAACCTCGAGTTGCAATACTAAAGGATATTTAGGGCAGAATATTGAATGATCCAGGAAATATTAAAAGAAGATGGAAAGAGTATATAGTCATTGTACCAAAAGGAATTGGTGGACAAAGAAGAATTTCATGAAACAACACATGAGCAAGAGCCTGTGGTGATGAAAGAAGTTTAAGCTGCTTTGAAAGAATTGGCAAATAAAAAGGCCCCAGGAATTGATGGCATACTGATCTGGTGATGAAAAGAAATTAACTCTACAAGATGACCTGTGAAGCTCAATTAGGAAGAAAATTAGGAACCCCTGTCCTTAGCACTACCTTTTAAGAAATCTTTCTGGATAAATAAACACTAATTTAACAGTTTTCTTTTTCATCTTCACTAAAATGTAGTATTTTTTTATTTCAGACAAATAAAATACATTTTAAAATATCTTTCCATTGCTGTTATGCATCTTTGTGTTAACTTGTGGGGGGACCCCTCAATGTGTATTGTAAAAAGAGCTGTAACTGCTTGTTCTTAAACTTCAGGCAGTCTAATCAGTTATTCTAACTCTTCAGAGTCAGGATGTCCTAAATGACCCAGCAACCCCAGCCTGTGGCTCTGTCCTGTCCCCTCTGGGAACACAGTATTTGTTTTCCATACAGCCCTTCCCACTCGCTACACTGGGTGCATAAAACCCAGAGTTCAGTGTCTCTGAACAGGCAAATTCTAAAACTGAAATGTGGTGGCAGATGTTTTGTACTGGATCAATCTAGGGCTCAAAGAATGAATACTAACTAAGGTTCTAATTCCAGTGCTGGACAATATGGTATGCAAAAGTCAGCAAATATCTTGGAAAACTGTGCTTCATTCTCATAGCAGTCTGCGAAAGGTGCGCGTTGAGAGGAACTAAGACAGGCTGCAGTTCTCAGGAAATTGCCACCACGGAACTTCCTCATTCTGGAGCCTGCCTCTTCTAAATAGGGCTTGGTGGGGGTTGGGGGGGGATAGTGGTGGCACTGTGAAGAGCAGGATGAGAAGCTGTACTCATCTAGGTCCATTTGGGCTGAACCGAAACACCTGACATTTCAGACAAAAGGTGGGTTGGAACATAAAAAGCAAAAGTCCTGTTTGGCTATTTGAGCTGCCTCACTCAGGCAAACAGGACGGTTTAGCATTTTATGAAATTAACTTCCAAATACTGTAATTAGAAACATCATGATTTTGGTGGTTGAATGGAGAGCAGCAACCCTGGGGGAGATATCACCCTAGATTTCTCGATCGGAGACTTGCATTGGCCTTTCAGTGTTCCTGCAGGCAACATTTCCTGCAGGCTTTCATTTGCCTGAGGAAAGTTACCATCAACATCATTATTAGTTCAAGCATACTGTTGCCTTTCCTGGTCCCTGGTGTTCACTACCAAATCCCAAATGGCTTGGAATTCTGCATCCAACTTGTATGCTGGTGCTTTTCAGGACTCTGCTTGAAACACACACACACACACACACACACACACACACGGCAGCTGGAGCTCTACTGGGGTGATGACCTGAAGTGCACACTTTTTTTTTTCTCCAATGCAATCAGCAACCTTCGAAGGGGCCCTGCGACTCACTGGGCATTCTTCTCTGTGGAAGGAATTATAGCTGAGTATCACCACTATGATTTGCTTTTACTCACTTTCCCTACTATGATTTCTTGATAATAGAAAATTGCCATGTCTGGTGGTGGAGTTTAACAGCTGCCTAGTATATAAGGTAAGGCGTAAGCAAAAGGTTATTAAGGTCATTCATGCACTATTAGGACAAACGCACAAAGACTGGTCAGGTGGTACACACGGTCTATTTAACTAATAAAAGGAACCAGGAAAAAAGGTGATTTCTGCCCTGAAGGCAACTGCCACTGATATCCCACCCTCATTGCTCCCTCCAGTCTCCATTAACCATTTCAAACCTGCCTCAGGGCCATAGGGGACAAAAAACCCCCAAACCAACCTCAGGAGGACAAAGGCATTTGTAGGGCAGCCCTGCCCTTCAGCAAAGGGCACTGCCCTGTCATGTCAGTCCTGAGCTCACAGGGGGGATTATACAGCCATCCGCCTGTGGCAATGGAAGCCTGGGTTGCCTACTCCTCCGAAGAGAAGACATAGTCTTCTGCCTGGAGGACCCTTTGAGGGATATTCAAAAAGGCCCTCAAAGGGAGATATATGGCACCTACACTACTCACATCATACATGTGAATCTACAGCTATGTATTTATAGACCTTGAACATTGGGTGAAAAGTCAGAAAACAAGAAGAAACCATCTTCCAGTCTCTCAAATACATTGTCCGAGAACTTCATCTATTCATCACTGAATATAGACCTAAGATCACCAGAGAGGAGGAAACCTGTGTGTGGGATGGATGATCCTAATTATAACTCCCACATCATTCACTATGTTAAAAAGAGACCAGTGTGTTGAAAGTCCCTTAGTTGAAGGCAGCTGAGACCCCTGAAGGGCTTATTGCTCTTCTGTTTTGCTGCTATTCCTGAACTTCACCACCATGACTGTTATATTGTCAGGGCAGCCTCTGTAAAATGACTGTAAAACTATGCTCTTGGCCCCAAAGTGAGGTTCATCCAAGCGCTCCTTGATGAATCGCACAGCTTCTTCATTGCTGAAGGCATCCCAGAGGCCATCTGATGCCAAGATCATGAACTCAGGCTGGAGCTTGTCCAAGTCAAACGTCAGGATATCTGGGTCTGGGATGACTACATTGAGATTTTTCAGTGGATAATCTCCCAGGGACCGAGACATGGCCAGGATGCCCTGGACCCTCCAGGAACCATTAAAACTGATGAAACCACCTGGAAAGACATAAAGAACATATTAGTATGACTAGCTAACATCTCCTACACCTGGTACAGTCTCTAAAAAAACCCATATTACTAACAAAACAGAAAAGACTCATAAGTGACCTTCTTTCTGCCAGAGAGGCTCAGTCTTTGAATTAGCAGTGCAAGGCTCTATGAACTACGTATACCATCAGAACTCCCTGGTACAGTCTGGCTGACTGACTGGATATCAGCTGGGGGCTGTAATCAATACTCTCCCTAGTGACCCAGCACTGATCATCATTTCTGCTGCATGGTGTGGGTTTTGGCTCCTTTTAAAAAAAAAACAAACAAACACGAATAAACAAAATGGTTTCTATACAAACTTCAAATACATTGTTTTTCACACAAAATGAGAGAATGAGAGAATATATATTAAAAAACCTGAGCAAACATCACATAGAATAGACCCCAAAAGGAAAACACCAAGGCATATCATAAGATAAAGAGTTGATTTCTCAGCAGAAACCACATGAGCCAGAAGACAAGGGAATAACATATATCAAACACTCAAAGGACACAACTGTCAACAAGGAATATGATACCCAGCAGGATTGTCCATCAAATATGAAAGGGAGATCAAGATATTCCCAGAAATACAGAACCTAAGGGAGTTGGTAAAAAACGAGACCACCATTGTAGGAAACACTGAAAGATGTCCTTCTTGCAAAGGTGCCACAGAAAGCAGGATGGACCAAAGTAACTAGCAACAATACCAAAAATAACTCAAGAAAATGATAGCAATGAAACCTTGCCTCTTAATAATTACACTGAATGTAAATGGTTTAAATGCACCAGTGAAGATAAAAAGAGTTGCTGATTGGATAAAAACCCAAAATCCATCAATATGCTGTCTACAAGAGACACACCTGAAAAATGAAGATAAAGATGAAAAATAAAAGGGTGGGGAAAATATACCATGCAAATGGCAACCAGAGAAAAGCAGGAGTGGTGATATTAATGTCTGATAAAATAGATTTCTATGCAAAAACCGTCATAAAGGACAAGAAAGATCATTACCCAATGATTAAGGGGTCAATAGAACGAGAAGATATAACATTAACATCTATGTATCAAATTAAATACCTGCAAAAGATCTAAAACATTAACAAAACAGAAAAATGAAATAGAAAATACTACTATTGTAGTTGAAGACTTCAATACACCACTCTCAAGGAAAGATAGAATTTCCAGAAAGAAACTCAACAAAGATGCTGACGAATTAAACCACAAAATAAACCAACTCCATCTCATAGAGATTTATAGGCTCATGCACCCCAAAAAAGCACAGTATACCTTCTTCCCCAATTTTCATGGAACATTCTCCAGAATAGGTCACATTTTAGGATGTAAGACAAGCATCAATAAATTCAAAAGAACAGAAATAATGCAAAACATCATCTCAGACCACAAGGCTACAAAATTTTAAATTAATAACAAGAGGATAAAGAGGAAAAAAAATCCCATACACTTGGAAGCTGAACAACACCTTGCTTGAACATTAATAGGTACTAGAAGAAATAAAAAATGAAATTAAAAACTTTCTTGAAACAAATGACAATGAAAACACCACTTATCAAAACTTCTGGGAAGCAGCCAAAACAGTAATTAGAGGTCAATTTACAGCAATAAGCAAACACATCAAAAGGCAGGGAGAACTGATCATTGACTCTCTAACGCAATATTTTCAACAAATTGAAAAAGAACAACAAGAAAAGCTGACACCCTCTAAAAAACGATAATTATAAAAATTAGAGCAGAGATTGAGTCCTGAAGATGGCGGAGGTGGAGAGCACAGTGTGAAGAGCCAGAGGGATATAGCAGCCTGCGTAGAGAGGATACCAGAGAGTACTTTACACTCCACAGAGACTGACCATCACAGCGTGACGTGAACAGTAGGATTGTGAATCAGAACTTTTGCTAATACATTATTTTAGAAGCTTTAAAAACCGGAGCCCTTCCTGCCTGCCTGCCCTGCAGCGGTCCCGCAGTGGTCCCACCGCGGACCCAGCAAAAGCTGGAATCCACGAGCTGAGCTGAGCTGCATTGAGACTCACCTGAAAGGAAAAAGGTTAGTGGGGAAATCGGCTGAATTCTCTTGAGCCCACTAAAACCTGGAGGGTCTGAGGTGTGGTGTGGACAATAGGAATTGAATCATAACTTTTGTCGAAACTTTTAGTATTGGAACTGTGGGAACAAGGCCGCACAGACTCGGCAAAAACCGGAAGCCACTAGATGAGCTTCTAAGAGACCCATTTGAAAGGAGAAAACTTAGTAGGGAAATTGGCTTATTTCTCTTAAGCTCCACTAAGACCCAGTGGGTCTGTTGCATGACGTGGACATTAGAAATTTGAATCAGAACTTTTGCTGGAGTGAACTCAGAACGAGCTGATGGCCTCAGTTGCAATCCGGACCACTTTTCGGTTGCACTGTAGATCAGCAAATGCCGGAATTTGCAAGC